GACCATGTTCATAGCGATGTTAGGTTTTGGAGTGCTCTCTGACACCTGGGGAATGGGTCCCATTTGTGGGCACGTGCCCGTTGCCAGGCTCTGTGCTGACCACTTCCTTTCCCATCCCTGCTCTATCCCAGAAGGGAGGGGCATTCCATGCCCTCCATCTCACAGACAAGCAAACTGAGGCCCAAGGAAGCAATCGGCCCAGCTACCCCAGCCAGGACGGTGCTGCTGAAAAGCCCCTGGCCCTCCCTCATGCCACAAGGGCCGAATGTGTCTGTCACAGGTCCCGAGGCCCCTGACTTCTCCATTCAAGGATGCTTAGCTGGGAGGGCGAGAATCATTGTCCTGAGCTGTCCACTCTTGCCCCTTGGGCTTGTCCCTCTTGGGGTCCAGGAAAAGCCGAATCCTGTCCCTCCCGGCTCCAACCCTGCCTAGGCTTTCCATGCCCTTACCCAGAGCTGCAGGGGCCTCAGGATAGCCCCACACCTCGTCACACCCCACCCCCAACCCCCATCCTCCATCCTTCTGCCCCCACCCCGGTCCTGGGCAGCCCTGGCTCGGCCTCAGCACCCTTGCTGGCTGCTCTTCTGGAACAGTCTTTGTCTAGATGCCCCCAGGGTCCGTGTCACAGAGCCAAGTGTGGCAGCCGCCTGGGCTGCCCTCCCGTTGGCATCTGCCACCAGGCGTCTGGCCTCCACTTGCCTCTCCCCCGCCAGCGTCTGGGGAGAGTTTGGGCTGTACCGTTTGTACGAGTCCACGGTGCTGAGGAGGCCCAGGACGGTTCCCCAGAGGCCTCTGCTGTCTGTGGGCGAACCCCCTTCCTGAGGGCTGAGCACGCAGGGTCTGACTCAGTTTACTGATCCTGGCTCTGATCGTTGGCACGGGTGCTGGCCTGGAGCTGGACCAATGGGCTCCGGAACTCTGCAGACCCCAAATAGCCTCCCTGGGTGCTGCAGGTGTTTCTTTAGTGGGTCACGGGCTCCTGTACCCCACGCTGGTGTGTTTTACCTTGTGAAACTCTCCCACAGGGGACCTGGTGTCGATTCTGTCGAGTGGCCAAGGGGTTTCTGGCGCCGGGGACTTCTTTTTTTTTTTTCTTTTTTGCTTTTTTTTTGGGTCACATCCGGCGATGCACAGGGGTTATTCCTGGCTCTGCACTCAGGAGTTACTCCTGGCGGTGCTCAGGGGACCATATGGGATGTTGGGAATCAAACCCAGGCCGGCCGCTTGCAAGGCAAACACCCTACCTGCTGTGCTATCTCTCCAGCCCCTTTATTTTTGTTTTTGGGGTCACACCCGGCGATGCACAGGGGCTTCTCCTGGCTCTGCACTCAGGAATTACTCCTGACGGTGCTCGGGGAGCCCTATGGGATGCTGGGAATCAAACCCAGATCAGTTGCGTGCAAGGCAAATATGCCCTATCCGCTGTGCTATGGCTCCAGCCCCTGGGAACGTTTTTTGAAAAGAATTTAGAGACTAGGACCAAAGAGGCGTCCCTCAGCAGCTGCAGCCGGTCACTCTGCTCCGTCCCCAGGAGTGGTGCCCATGTGGGGCGAGAGGGAGAGGGTCAGTGGAGGTCACGTCCCTGAAGACGTTGGATCCAAGACACCTCGGTCTGCAAACGCCTGGCCCGGCCTCAGTGCCCAGCAGACTCTGCCCCACGCCTGCCCCGTGACTAGAGCTCTGCCTGCTGGCACTGCACGCGTGCCTGCCTGTAATGGAGCTGGTCTGGGCAGGGGGCAGCAGCTGCCCATGGCCCCCCTCCCCTTTCGTCCGCCATCAGCCAGCCAGCCAAGTCCATGACCCTCAGCCTCCTTCTGTCCTTTTGCTGTCCATTTCCCACCTCCAGGACATCAGCAAGCCTTCCGCCTGTCGCCTGCACCCACAGCCAGATCCCCAACTCTCAAGTCAGCCCAGCGGTGACCTCCCCACCTCCCCACAGAGCACGAAACACGTACTAGGTCTCGTGGCATTTCCAGTTTGATGGTCCCTGGCCCCTGGTTGCATACTCAGAGGTAACTGGGGACCTGGGGTCTGTCCACGCCTCCTTCTCCAGCCTCTGGAGTTCTAGCATCCCTGACTTTCACTCACTCCCAGTGACTACTGGGGCTTCTCCCTAAATGCTCTCACCACAGGGCCTTTGCACTTGCTGAACCTACCACCCTAGAAGACCACCTGGTCAGCTCCTGTCCCCTGCCCAGCCAGGCCTTAGCTCCAACATTACCAATGGGAACCCTTTCCTGACGCTTCATCGTCCCTGCACATGTGCACACACATGCATGTGCGCACACACACATGCACACGCACGCACACGCACACACACAAACACACACATGCACACATGTGCACATGTACACACATGTACACATGCATACACACACGAGCACATATATGCACACACATGCATATGCACACACATGCAAGACATGTACACACACATGCACACACTGCACACACATGCACACACACATACACATACACACACTGGGTGGTCTCGCCCCCTTCTTGTCTTTTTCAAGCTCCTGGGCTGCCTCGTTTTTGGGCTGATTTGGCTGTCACTGCCCAGGCCCCGGGGACTCGGGGTGACTTTGCTGCGACCCGGCTCTCTGGGCAGAGATAAGGAGAAGCAAAGTCTAGCCTGGACCGGTGACCCCTGGGAGCCACAGTCCCACTTCAGTTTCGGCTAGAGTGGGCGAGCTCTGTGCCATCAGCTGGGCTTCTCTCGCTGCGTTACACCCACAGATACTTTTGGAATTCAATTCAACTGCCATGACACACACACACACTTGTGCATTCTCTTTCTTGGTCTACTCCCCGCTTCTCCATCCTCCTCCCCCTCCACCTTTGGCTGAAGAGACAGTCCTAGGCCCTGATGATGTTGCTTGCCCCAACCCAAGACCCATCATCTTTTTTTTTTTTTTTTTTTTTTGGCTTTTGGACCCAATCAGGGCAACACCCAGAGGTTACTCCTGCCTCTGCACTCAGGAATCACTCTTGGTGGTACTCAAGGGACTATATGGGATGCCAGAGACTGAACCTGGGTCTGGGCCAGGCTAGTGTAAGGCAAACGCCCTAGCCACTGTACTATCTCTTTGGCCCCCAAGCTCCTTCATCCTTGACGAGTTTCTACCTCAATCCTCTCCTTGGAGCAGGTGCTGGACAGGGAACATGAGTTCCATTTTATGGGAAGGAAGACTGAGGCCCACCTGGGGTTCCTGGGGATCCTAGACTGGAGAGAACTCAGGACTGACTATCTCAGCAAGGTCTCCCCTCCGGGACTCAAGAAATGTGGACCCAAAGGGAAACCTGGTGACAGGTCCTGACGCGGCTTGGGTGGACCGGGATGCGCCGGCATCCACAGCCTCCTAATTTCTAGTTTATAGTTTGGACGCCAGGGATTTTCCAGGGGCCAGAAAAGATGATTCCCACGGAGTCGAATTGTTTTTCCCACAGTAAACCATCGTTACTTTTCAATCTGAAAAACCGATAATAGGTACTGTAATAGGTTCTGGTAATAGGTACTTTCTACTGTAATCTAGAAAGCCAGAATATCCCCATGTCAGCTCTCTAATTAAAGACTGAATTCTTTCTATCTTTCATTTTTTTTTTGCTTTTTGGGGTCACACCCAACGAAGATCAGGGGTTCCTCCTGGCTCTGCACACAAGAATTACTCCTGACGGTGCTTGGGGGACCATATGGGATGTCAGGGATCGAACCCAGGTCGGCTGCACGCAAAGCCAACGCCCAACCCGTTACGCTATGGCTCCAGCACCATGAACTCTTTCACTCTGAGAAAGTTACTTGCTCTTCCTTAGAGGCCAGTAAGCGCTGTCCTTCTCTTCTTGCCCGGAAGGAAGGTGTGAGGTGAAGTCTGACCCTAACAATATTGGGTATCCTGAGGCTGATGTGTGTATGCAATCGCGCATCTGTATTTATTTATTCATTTAATTAATTTTATCTTTCCTTTTTGCTTTTTGGATCACATCCGGAGATACACAGGGGTTATTCCTGGCTCTGCACTCAGAAATTACTCCTGGCGGTGCTCGGGGGACCATATGGGATGCTGGGAGTAGAACCCGGGTCGGCCGCGTGCAAGGCAAACGCCCTACCCGCTGTGCTATCACTCCAGCCCCTTTTGATGTATTTTCCAAGGGAATTTCCCCAGATGTTCCTGCCATGGGCCGCTTAGGAAACAGTGAATAGCCGTCCAGGCCTACAGCAGCCCTTCCTGCTCTCCCACCCCTCCCACTCAGGAATGTGGAAGCGCTTTCCCCGCTCTGCTCATCTCTTCTTGCAAAACGTGTTTTCAGGGGAACGTACGTTGTTTTTAAAAGCTTCCATCCTGGCCCACTGCTAATTATTACTGACCCGAGAGGAGCCGGACTAATTTGCCTTCAAAAACGGATTCCATCGCAAATCTGGGAGGAAGCAACTACACAGTGTTTATTGGATTAGCGCGACGACCAGCGGCCAGCACCCGGGAGGAGCCGAGAGAGCGGAGCCTGTTAACAGCCCCGGGAAACTGGGAGATAATCGGATCAAGTGTGTTTCTCATCAGCCATCCCTGGCTGCAGCCTGGAGCCTTCTTGGGGGCTGCTAGCCAGTCTCCAGCCTCCAAAGGATAGCAGTGCACTGTAGCACTGTCCTCCCGTTGTTCATCGATTTGCTTGAGCAGGCACCAGTAACGTCTCCATTGTGAGACTTGTTACTGTCTTTAGCATATTGAATATGCCACGGGTAGCTTGCCAGGCTTTGCCGCACAGGCAAGATACTCTCGGTAGCTTTCTCGGCTCTCTGAGAAGAATGGAGGAGTCAAACCTGGGTTGGCCGCATGCAAGGCAAACGCCCTACCCGCTATGCTACCACTCCAGCCCGCCAAAGGGTAAAGAGAAAAATTAACCACTGCCACAAAAAAAGGTGAAGATGGTGTCTGCCTGCCCCCAACTAGATCCCCCCAGGTCCCCCAGCAGGTGAATCGAAAAGGAAGAGAGCAATTCCAAACCTCCAGATCATTGAAGAAGAGGTGCGTGTCGGCGAGGTTGAAGATCATTTCCTCCATCATCAGGCCGATCCTCACCGACGTCGTGGTGTCCTGTGGACGGGAGGTGGGAGGGAGAGTGAGGGTCGGAGCGATAGCACAGCGGGCACGGCATTGGTTTTGCATGTGACTGACCCAGGTTCGATCCCTGGCATCCCATAGGGTCCGCCAAGCACTGCCAGGGGTGATGCCTGAGTGCTGAACCAGGAGGAAGCCCTGAGTATTGCCGGGCGTGACCCAAAGACAAACAAACAAAACAAATAACAACAAAAGAAAGTGGGAGAGTGACAGGGAGCAGCGGTTACCGTCTCTGTTTCCCCCACCCCCGCCCTGCACTCCCCCAGCCCAGCTTCCAAGACTCCATTTGTGGCGTCATCCTTCCTGGTGACCCTTTCAGTACTTCAGTTGTCTCAAGCGCTGCCGGAACTGTCTGTGTTCAGAGTCCCCCAGTTCCCAGAACCAGGATCACTGTCACTGTATCACTGTATTGCTGTATCACTGTCATCCTGTTGTTCATCGATTTACTTGGGCGGGTGCCATTAGCAACTCTATTCGTCCCAGCCCTGAGATTTTAGCAGCCTGTCCCCTCTCGTCTTTCCCAACGCTGCCATATTGGAGGCTCTTTCAGGGTCAGGGAATGAGACCTATTATTGTTACTGTTTTTGGCATATCGAGTACGCCATGGGGAGCTTGCCAGGCTCTGCCGCGACACATCATAAGACACTCCCTACCCTTTTTCCATAATTACCACAGTCTATTTGATGGGATTCAGACACTAGATAACAAATCATAGAGGGAAATATATATATTTCTTGGAAATATATATACCTCTTGGAAAGCCCAGCAAGCTACCAAGAGTAGTATCCCGTTCCAGAATGAGGATAGGCGATAAAAAAAAAAAAGTGCATCTCCAACAGAAAGAAAGCATGATTCAAGAGGTTCCCCAGAGGTGGGGGGGGGAGGTTAGGGAGGGCGGTGGAGATAGTGGGAGGTGTTCTGGGAGTCCGGGGGGTGGGGTGGGGCTGCTCCTTCTCACGGTCTCTCCTCTTGGTCTCTATAGACAGCTGCTCCCATGGACAGCCACACTGGAACGAGTCCGTGTGAAAGAGAAGGATGTGAGGGGCCAGAGAGAGGGTGCAGGGGTCAAGGCGCTACGTTGCATGCAGCTGACCCTGCTTTGATCTCTGTCACCACAGACAGTCACCCTATAGGACTGGCCCCTCCTTGAGCACAGAACTAGGAGTAAGCCCTGAGGACTTCCAGGTATGGCCCCAAACCTCCCCTCCCCAAAACAAAACAAAACCCCCAAAGCCCCAAAAATCCCCAAAAGAAAGTATGCAATCGTTTATTGATACGCAAATGATTGTCAAGAAACAAACACAGTATTAATCAAAGTGAGTTGCACCCCAGGATCTAGCTCATGGGGGAAGCATGAACTATAAAGGTCTTCATTTCGGGCTGTTGGGGAACAGTTTCTCCCCAATGTGCCCAGACACCTTGCACACCGGGTCCGGGCAGACACGGCGCGGAGGATGACGGTGCGCGGAGAAACCACTCCGGTTTCAGACAGCTGGTGGCCACTCATTTTACTGCCAACTATACACATATTTTATAGAGGGTCTCGGCTTAAGAGGATGGTCCAATCACGTAAAGTTTACTGACCTATCACCTTTCCAACTCTCCTTTGCCCTGGCCCAATCCCAACTAAGGCTAGATGCTGCAGTTAGGAAGGCAGCTAGGTGACAATTCTTGGGGGATGAGACTCAACACCAGGTACCTGGTGCTAGTAAAATGCACCCAGACACTCCCTACTGGTCACTCTGCAGGGACAGGTCTTTTCTGCTCTGCAGGGACAGATCTTATCTGCTCCAGTGCTTGTTGTCAGGGTCCATAGCCTGTGGGCAGGCTCGGGTGGTGGTTGGGAAAACTGGAAATAATGGCGGTGGGAAGGTATAAGGGTGGAGGGATTGGTGTTGGAATACTGAATGTAATAAATCATCATGAACAACATTAAAAAAAAAGTCCCCAATCCCATCCCTGCCTCTCTCCTGCAGCCTTGATGTTGTGGACCGCAAGACTTTTCTTTCCTATTTGGGGGCTCCCCTCCTGTGCGCTTCTTCCTAAGGGGACAAGAACTACCAGTGCGCTGGCACCCCACTGCCCCACTTTCCCATGAGAGCTGAGACTGTTTTGCAATTCTTAATTTTATTTTGGGGTTATACCTGCTGGTGCTCAGAGAGTACTCCTGACCCAGGGATCACTCCTGGCCCCATTTCACCTGTGCTCTCTCTGCGCTGAAGAGGCACAGGGGAGTCCCCGTGACACTCTTTCTCTCCTTTTTTTTCTTTTTGGGTCACACCCGGCGATGCACAGGGGTTATTCCTGGCTCATGCACTCAGGAATTCCACCTGGCAGTGCTCAGGGGACCTTATGGGATGCTGGGAATTGAACCCGGGTCGGCCACGTGCAAGGCAAATGCTCTACCCGCCGTGCTATCGCTCCAGCCCCCTGTGACACTCTTGACACAGAGGTCCCCAAACCTATTTGGTCTACTGCTTCCTTTCCAGAAAATCAACAAGCAAACGAACATCACTCAGCACTCTCTGGAAAAGCACCTGCTTCTTTTTGTTTTGCTGAGTCTGTGGGCCACACCGTCAGTGCTCGGGGCTTACTAAGGTTCTGCATTCAGGGATCACTCATGGTGGTGTCAGGGGATGAGGACCAAGCTGGGTTTGCTGTACTCCAGGCAAGTGCCCTACCCAGGCAAGTGCCCTACCCACTGCACCATCTCTCTGACCCCTGGAAATGCTCCTTCTTTAAGTGAAAAACAGAAAGCATCCTTCCTCCCCAGCTGCAAAGAGCTCACTCCCATCCCCTTCGTGGTCTCAGTGTCCCCCTCGCTGGGATTTGGGAAACACCAGCGTTGTGCCCTCACAAGACAAGTTTGCCTGCCCTGAGAATCAGACTCTCCCTGGGAAACTCGGGTGCGCCCATGGAACTCGTTTTGGTCCATCACGGGATCTTCTGGTCATGAGGTTATGGTTCCCAGGGGCTCTCTGTCACCCCTCACCCCACCCCTACCAGATTACATATTCTGGATGAAAGCCCCCTCTGCTGGCCTGGGGGAGGGATGCTGTGAGTTGGCACCGCCCAGAGCAGCACCTGAAAACTGGGACATGCTCCTTACAGGGCAGAATATGCCAACACGGACGTGTGGAAAAGGAAGAATGAATGGCTTCCTCCCCGCCCCCTGGCGGCTCTCAGAGCAGAGGAGCGTTAAAAAGTCACAAGCTCAGGGCACTGGAGCCATAGCACAGTGGGTAGGGAATTTGCCTTGCACGCAGCTGACCTGGGTTCAATTCCCAGCATCCCATATGGTCCCTTGAGCACCGCCAGGAGTGATTCCTGAGTGCAGAGCCAGGAGGAACCCCTGTGCATCGCTGGGTGTGACCCAAAAAGAAAAAAAAAAGCCACAAGCTCAGGCCTCACCCCAGTTCCTGCAGTCAGGACTGCGGAGGGCCAGGTCCCTGGGGCACCCACACGATTCAGGGCAGGGCTGAGGGGACATGGCACTGTGAGGCACATGGCACTCCATTGCCCCCAGTCAGCACTTCTCTGGGCTGCCGAAGTGTGGAATCCATCAGTCACTACGAAATCAAGGCGAGCACTAGAATTTCCATCGATACCATCGATAGTGGAGAAAATGGAGGCTTATGCCCAGTCCACAGGAGGACGCTGGGCCTTGGACCCAGGGATGGATTCTAGAGCACAGCTACGCGGCTGGGCTGGGCTCCGATGGAAGGAGGAGACGTGGGACCTCCCTGTGTTCTCTTCTTCCTATCTGACTTTTGTGTTTTATTTCCCAGGGAGGCTATAGTCCTTCTACTCTAAAAATAACAAATGACATAACTCCCTCTTTCCCCTTAAAAAATAAAACAAAGCCAGCAGCTGTAGGGACGACGTCAGCTTCGTGGCCGCCACCGAGTAATCGCCACCCCCGGCTCAGGGCTCAGCCGCGACACCTCATCAGGGCCCCGAGCCCAGGCTTAGCACCCTGGGGCCCCTCTGGAAGCTGCAGAGGAAAACAGAGCGGAATGAGGAAAACAAACTTTCCAGGCCCGAGGAGGGAGTCTCGGTGTGATCTGGGGACAGGATTTGGGGGTGTCTCTGCACATGGCTGACTTCTGCAGTACTTCCTTGGCAGGGCTGTGCGCACCCCCCTCTCCCCTGTCTGCTAAAGCAGCCCAGATGGACAGGCCTCCGTGAAGTGGGCAAAAAAGCGAGGCAGTCCCCAGACCTTCCCCTGGAAGATCTGTGTAGGAAAGTGTCGCCTTTCAGACCAGCATCCGAGAGAGGAAATGGTTGACCACATGCAAGGCAAATGCCCTACCCCCTGTGCTATAAATTTGGAAGTTAGTTACCCAAAGAGTCTGTAGAGGTTGAAAGTCTGAAAGCCATTCCCAGTGGACAGAAAGCAACAGGAGGAGGGGGTCACTGTTTTCCATAAGACTTTCCTTTCTGAAGGACACTTATGGGCTTTAAACTATCTGTATTGATTTCTTGGATTGGAAAAACAAATTAAAAAGGAACAGACTCGGGACCAGGAGAAACCCCTGAGCATCGCTGGGTGTGATCCAAAAAGCCAAAAAAGAAAACAATAACATCAACAAACAAACAAAAAAATGGAACAAACTTGGAAATGTTCTCTGGAGTAGCCAGCATCCCATATGAGCACTGTCAGGAGTAATTCCTGAGTGCAGAGTCAGGAATAACTCCTGAGCATTGCTGGGTGTAACCCCCCCCCCCCCCAAATAAAAGGGCAGCAGGCCACTGATACTGAACAAGCCGAAATGACGCTTTGCTGTTACAGGGATTGGGAGGATGTAAGAGGAAGTGTGCGTGAGAATGAGGGTGTAGGAGAGAACAGAGAACTAAACTCTTTCTTTCTTTCTTTCTTTCTTTCTTTCTTTCTTTTTTTGCTTTTTTGGATCACACGCAGTGATGCACAGGGGTTACTCTTGGCTAAAGCACTCAGGAATTATTCCTGGCAGTGC